TTCTATACTGCGGCTAACGCCGCTGGTGTGAGGCATACGCGTTGGCTTATGGACTCTGGAGCCTCTCAACATGTCACCTGGTGCCGCGCAGACTTTGCCACCTACCAAGACTATGACACCCCCGTTAACTTCAACACCGCCGCTCAAGGCGCTGGGAGTATTGTTCAAGGTGTTGGTGAAGGCACGGTTAAGGCTCAGACGTTTATCGACGGGGTCAAGTGGGAGATTACCATGCCTAACGTCTGCTACGTCCCTCGGGCGTCGACGCGGCTCTTCTCCACTGGTACCATCGAGCGTAACGGTTATTCACTCTTCCAAGGAGACGGGAAGATGACCATCTTCGACAAACTGCCCAAGGGCTCTGTCGTTCATGGTGCTACGGTCTCTATTCCGGGACATAAGGTCCTGGAGGCGGCTTATATGCCCCATTCCAATCTCTATGAGTTAGATCTTGAGATTGCGGCTAGTCAGACCGTTAACCCTGCCATTCGTTCCTATAAGACCTGGCATCGTCGCTTTGGACATGCAGGCAAGGAGGCGCTTTCTAAGCTGCCTAAGAACGTGAAAGGTGTTGATACTGTCGATCCTCCGAACAGTGAGCCTTGCGAGGGATGCGCCTATAGGGGCTGTCAAAGTTGACGCTGCGACTTTCGCTGCCGCTGCCGCTGCGTCACGTTCGCTGCGAGAATGATTATGTAATGTCACCCGCAATTTAGGCGCCCGATCGAACGCGTCGTAAATGCCGCCTGCGCTGTTCTCTCCCTTGTATCTACCCCCATCTACACTCGATCCTTGTACCGATGCCTGCCCAATCTGTCCATAATGAGGTCCTTGAGGCCTACATAACCTTCTCAGCTATACAACTTGCTCTCCTACCTCCCCAGTCTGCTTCACAACTGTTGGCTCAAGTTGAACGTGACTGTGCGGCTATTCACGCCATCCTGACGACCCGCTACCTCAATCCACGGACCCCTGTTGCAAAGCAGGGAAGCATAGACCTTGTGTGGAAGTATGCGGAACAGCCCGAGCACCATCACCGCTTCATCAACATGCTCCGAGTCTCCCCGCACGTCTTCGATACCCTCGTTCAGCTCATTGAAGACCACCCGATTTTCCGAAACCATTCCAACAATCCACAGGCTCCCATCCGGGTTCAGCTCGCCGTAACTCTCTACCGCATGGGTCATTACGGGAATGGTGCGTCTCTCCAAGAAATCGCTCGCTGGGCTGGCTGTGCGGAGGGAACCGTCGAGCTCTATACGGACCGCTGCCAAGAGGCGATCATGTCTCTTCACGACATGTTTGTACGGCCGCTGTCAGAGGCAGAGAAGGAGACCGAGAAGCGGTGGATAGAGGAGCAGCTGGGCTTCACAGGCACATCTTGGCGGGAGGGTTTTGTGATGTATGATGGGACAATCATCGTCTTCTACGCCCGACCTGGCATGGACGGGGATGCATACTACACTAGGAAGTGCAATTATGGGTTGAATGCCCAGGTGAGTGACTAATAAATGCTGTCTTGGCAGATATCTGATGTATACAGATTGGGAATGCACCATCCAATCTCCGGATCCTCGATTACTCTGTCGGCATGACAGGGTCTGCGCATGACTCGTCTGCCTTCGAACATACTGCTGCAGCCAAGTATCCCGACTGGTTCTTCAAGGGAAAGGAGTTCGCATGGGCCGACTCAGCATATACAGTCAATTCAAGGACAATCCCCGTTCACAAGCAACCCGCTTCCTTCGACCGCTGCAATGCACTTTTTGACAAGCACGTTTCCCGCCTTCGCGTACGATCGGAGCACTGCATGGGCGCACTGAAGGGACGGTGGCAATCACTCCGTGGCCTTCGTGTCAACGTCAACAATCATGCGGGACACCTGCGCGCTTGTCGCTGGGTTTCCTGCTGCATTGTCCTACATAACACGATTTTGGACATCGATGGATGGGTGGCAGGTGCTCAGTTTGTGCCATTGCATGGGCCAAGGGAGGAGGAGGAAGATCGTGGTGGGAGGGACGAGCCTCTAGAGGTGATTGTGGATGATCCAGGCGCTCGTCGGCGAGAGCTGGTTGAAGAACTTAATGTAGTGAGAGAGATGGGCTTTATTCGCTAGCCAGATACATAAATTGTTCCTCAGATATCAACACCATCACCTTCCCCATCCCAAGAAGACATTTCACCTCCCTCCGTCGCCTCTGGGACTGGTGCAACATTTTCCCCATTTGCCTGACCTCCCGTAGCGCTCGATGGGGCACCAGCACTGGTGATAGCCTTGATGTCTGCATTGAGTTGGGCGATAGCAGCATCAGTCTTCACCTGTAGCTCTAGAGACTGCTCACGGTACTCCTCTCGTGAGAGCAGCTCAGCCTTGAACTCTTGCAACAGTTGATCTTGACGACTTTTGCGGTCATCGCGTAGGGCCTGGATCTCAGAACGGATGTCTTTGATCGCCTTGCGAGTGTTTTCTGCCTTGATGGCTTCAACACTTTTCCTGTATGGCATATAAGCTGCTAGTCAAGCAAGTAGGCTAGGTACTCACTGGGATATATCACGTAGAATGTCATAAATACCTGTGTTGCGCGACACGGGCTTAACTTGCGCGCGTACAGCATCAAGCTTCTCGGGAGAGAGATGCGGGGGAGCAGAGCGTGATGCACGCCCACTGGCCACACGCCCACTTGCAGGAGGGTCAACCTCTGCTGCCTGCGTGCGTTGCAGTTCCGGGGTTGCGGGCGGAGCAGCGGCATGCGCCTGCGCACGGTGGCCGTCAGGCGGTTGGTAGTGGACAGTCTTGTGGCCAACAGGGCCAGTCCCAGTCGTCACTGCAGGTGGGATTGTGTTGGGTCGGGTAGCAAGCAAAGCATGGAGGCGAGTGAATGGCGGAAATTCACTCTGTATCTGATCTAGGGCCAAAGTTTAGTAAATCATGAATAAAAGAGGTTAAAGCGCAAAATACCCCAAATATTGCAGTACTCAGCTGGAGTGGCATCGTCAGGCCCCTCAGGCCCAATGTAGCACCGCAGGTACTCGTTGGAGTCATCAGACGACGAAGCGATATCCACAACAACGGTCGGCTCATCCTCTGATTCATCCTCACCCGAGCGCAGACCGCCTCCTGTGCAGGTGATCCGCTTGACCTTCGTAATGTAGTTCTTCTTCAACCTGTGCATGCATAAGACTTCACTGATAATAAAGAGGGAGGCAACGTACGTGTCGACTTTGTTCTTGATTTTATTTCCATACTGGCGGAGCTCCGCACTGCCCGCAGGAGTTTCGGGGAATAGGTCCTGGGCGATACGTTGGTATGCCGCAACCTTTGTATCCCCAGTACTCTTCTGCATGGAGATGTTCATAGATGATAGACGGAATAAATTGCACATAGCTACGTACTTCATTCTTGCGCTTCCCGAACAGAACCACCCGGTTATCATCCTTCTCGAGTGCCGTCAAGAGGGCCCATAGCAGGTCATTAGGTGCCTTTGTAGTGCCCCAATCGAGGTTGACTGTGTCCTTCGGGCGCTTCACGGTGGACTCTACAGCTTGGCTAGAGTCCGCGCGAGCTCGTTTCGATGCCATACGAGAGTACTGGTAAGCTAGACGAGTGGGGGAGGGAAGAATGCGAGCACGACGGCGTCGCGTTCATGCGCGTCGATTAAGCGCCCGCGACACGCGCTCAGTCACACATCAGTCACCGGTGACTGCGTGAGGTCACCCGCAGCGGCAGCGGCAGCGAAAGTCGCAGCGTCAACTTTGACAGCCCCTTATGGCAAATCTCATCGCTCCTCCTTCCCACCTTCAGAAAAGCGTGCAAGCGAACCTCTTGACCTTGTTCACACTGATCTGGACGGTCCGATGCGAACCCAGTCCATCAACGGGTTTTTGTACTTTGCGGGCTTCATTGATGATTATTCCGGTCTCGCACGCGCCTACTATCTGAAGCGTAAGTCGGACGCACCTCGCGCCTTCGACGACTTCAAGGCGTGGGCTGAGAACCAAACCGGGAAGAAAATCAAGCGAGTCCGTTCGGATCGAGGGGGGGAGTACACCTCTAA